CGTGACAACCATTCTCTATTTTCAAACAAATGCATTGAGTTTAATTAATACCAAATAAATAAATAATGATAGTATTAATAGTTTGATTCCCGGGCAGGGCATAATATTGGACATGTTTCCTTACTCCATACGCCTCTGTTTACCTAGCAGTAAGTAGGAACCCGGTTGTTATTTGATTGGCGGATCGCTTTACTGGAGGTAATAATCCAGTATAAATAATAATACTGTAATTTGGTCACTCAATCCACAACTGTTTATAGGGCACTGCTGTTGCAATTGGCTGCTGCGTTTCGCCCACAAAATATACAGTCAATTCATTTTATAGTGTATTCTGTGAAGCACTTTGAGACCTTGAAGACGTGATAAGGTGCTATATCAAATGCAAGGGTTATTATCATTTCAGTTTATGTAATAGTTTATAGTTTTCAAATAATAAATCTGAAAATAGGATCTGAAGCAAGCCTCGTTTGTGGCGTAAAACTGACTGCATTTACTGTCCATTAATTGGAGAATGAGAAATTGCTGGAATTGAAATTCAAGTGACCTGGAACTGTCGCAGTGCTTATCAGTGGCCTTTTCACAGCAGTGCTCGAGATTTAAGTTAGCTATCATTTAACAACTTACGAACCTCAGCGACTCCCATTTTCTCAGTGGGATTGTGAGTGATTTCGACAGAATCATAGGGAAAAGGTGAAGGTTAATGTCGAGTTGTTCGCATTTGTAATGCTTTGTGTACTTGAAAAAGCAGCTTATTTTTCTTACCATTTCCTTGGCTAGGTTATTGTTGAGGAGTGAATGAAATCCTGACGGTGCCAGTGGATCTGTTTTTGATCATCTGAATTTGTCTCAAGTATTTTCATATGGCGTATTGTCTCAAATAAAACGTGTGTGCAGATAGTCGAGATATTCCTTCATAGACATACATCACCACTTTTAGTGTCATGTCAGATGTGCCGTGCTTGTTTTCTAAGAGAAGAAAAATCCCCGGCGCAGAGGAGAGATGGTAAAGTAGGATGTAATCATTGATCTCTGATGTAGGGGCAGTTAATGTGTGCTAAGACTCATTTTTGCCAATTACTATATGTGTTGTGAGTGTGGGTTCGGCATTTTCGAACATAGAAGACCTCCCCATGTTTCTGGGTTGTTCGTTTGAACTGGCATTTGAGAACTTACTATTGGGGTTTCTCAACAAAAGGAGATCACAGGTGGTTTGGATGAAGAAGGCTTTTTTCATTTATCTTCTTCCAATTATAGTATCAAGATGATTCTTAAAAAAAAATTATGTATCCTTAATTACCCTTCATTTTTGTTTGGCCAGCCGCGTGTCTGATATGTGGGAACCCATCACCATGCTTAAGAGGATCAAAACCAGACTAAGAAGGTCCACCTTTGTATGTCACCTACACATGAAAATTCCTCAGTGCCAAGAATGGGCTCTCTCTCTCTCTCTCTTTGCAAGGATATACTTCTGTTTACTGAACACCGAGATTATTAGGCGCAACGTGACAAGAGCAAGGCTCAGAGACATTCGGGCAAACTTCCCACTGCTTTTCCAGCTATTACCACCGTACCTTTAAAAAGATTTAAATATCTTTCATGGTAACTAGATTACTCTTCTCTGCAAAGAAATTCTTTCTGGTAACAAGAAGAAAAGTCGCTGGGAACACTCAGCAGGTCAGACGCGGCGGCGAGAGCAGTGATCAGATGAGTGCTAAATTTCACAGAGGTATCTGTGATCGTGTGTGGGTTGAAAGCAGGAAGGGTGGAATTTAAGACGGAATCCATATGGAAATAGTTGCAGTTTAAGACAGTTACAGAGGAAAGAGATGTGGCTGTGAAAACGGGAAAGAGATAGCAAAGATGGAGAGCAGGGCAAAAGGGAAGAACGAAAGTCACGTCGAAGAGAAGAGCAAAACTTCTTCAGGGTAGGCATTCCTAGAAGAGAAGTGGCAGTGAATCAAATATAAACAAAACACAAAATGCTGCAGATGCTGGAAATCTGAAAACAAAAACGGAAGTCGCTGGGAACACTCAGCAGGTCAGGCTTACTTTCTGGTGTCTGCCCGAAACTTGCCCTTCAGAAACACTTACTTTGCACCCACTTAACCTATCCCACATATGTGAATTGACCTATGCAGCCCAATGCTTGGCATATTCTTATAATAATAATCCTTGCATTTGATATAGCACTTTATCTCGTCGTTGAGACGTCTCAAAGCGCTTCACAGAATTTACTGTTAAGTCAATTGACTATATTTTGTGGGGAAAATGCAGCAACAAATTACGCACAGCAATGTCCCACAAACCGTTTTTTAATTTTTATTTATAGCTGTAAGCATTCTCCTAGGAGCATAGGGATGTATAGGATTGGAAAAGACTATTGGGTCCATCTGACCAGTTACAAAGTGGCATCTTTTCTCAATTGAATGATAAAGGTACTCTGCCTCTTTAAAAAAAAAATGCTAACTAGTTGACAGCTTTTAAAACCAAAAGTTTTGTCCCCATTATTGACCATTTCTGTCATTGTCATTTTTTTGTTGTTGTATAATAAATGTTAGCATTTGAATTCATAACCATTTTTTTTTGGCCGACAATCCTGTTGTTTTTTATTTTTCAATACATTTGTCACAGGTAATGTGGTTGAGAAGACGGATGACACTTTTCATGAGTGTTGTCAGATTAAATAGTTTAGCTGTTCCGTTCGTCAAATGCCTTAACAAAGCATTTGTGGGGTTTACCTCTGTACGTCCTCTAGGAATGGAAATAAATGCAGTCGTGGCTGAGAATTATTTCAGCCTTTTTCCTTCTTGTCTGTTAGATATTTTAATTTACAGATTCCTGCAGAAATTGTGCCTACTTAAGATGTCAAATGATTAGTGAGCAAAATCATTTCAGGTATTAGAAATGTAAATTTAATTGGTTATAAAATTTGGCTTCATTTCAGAGCTAGCTTAAGCTTGCCTAGTTATTTTACTTGTGCTCTTTTTTGCCTTCAGCACATTTAATGGAGCTGAAGTGAGAGAATAGGCACTATAACTACATTTTATAGCAGCTCCTTAAACTAGCAGAATTTATTTGTAGTTTTACAGTCGTGAGCTGAAAAACCCACTACGTTTAAGTGCTTATCGGAAGAACGTCAAATGATTTATAAAATGTTTTGTTGTCTGGGAATACAATGCATTTAAAGCCCTTGGAGTTTTCAATAACTAAGAGGTTGTTACCATAGAAATGGGTCATCGTCTAATTGGCCATACAATGAACGTTTGCAAAATGGTAATACAAGTCAATATATAGAAGGTTGATGAATGCTTCTGAGCTGAAGATTCATTTTTCAAAAAACATCTTGTGTAAATTTTAAAGCATTTTCACCCTTTGTTACCAATTTATAATTTGGTAAGTGGATTGTAACACTGGTAGCCTGGCTCAGTTGTCAGACCTCTCGCCTCGGAGTCAGAAGTTTGTGGGTTCAAGCCCCACTTTGTAAATAAACACTTTGAGATATCTGACATGAACGGCGCTGGGTGAAATGCAAGGATTGTTATTACAATAAATTGTCATTTTGCTTTTCATAATTTATTTCTTTTTCTCTCTCCATTCTTATCTCTCCCTTCCATTTTTTTTCTCTTTTTCTCAGATTTTTCTCTTTGTGTTTTCGATCCCACTGCTGTGACTCTCTTTTCAAAAAAAAACCCAATGCCGGATGATTGCAAAGTTATTTGATTCTCAGCATAGGTAGGAGCTAAAGGAATCTCCCAGGCTTATCACTCAGGAGCTGCATGGTATTTGATTTGTTTTGTATAGAAAAAGTTATTCCAGTTATGCTTCTGTAGTCGCTGGGTGAATTGATACCCAACATTACCACATTGCAGCTTATCGTACTCACAAATATGGACTCTGCTATGGTGGAGATACGGTTTACCCCACTATATAGCTTAGAGCGTTCTGCCTAGTATGAATTGGATATGTAAGCACATTTTCTAAGGAAGCAACAGATGTCAGTTATATCACCCCTTTAAGACAACTGGATTCTAGTCCTACAAGACAAGATTGAGCATGGCGACATCAATGGTTGAGCCAGCAGTACATTAAGACAATTTTTCTCGCTTTAGTGTGTTTTCCTCCCTCCTCCTTTTGTTGGGAAGTGTATGTTTGGCACAGATAAGTACTTGGACACTAATGCTGAGGCATTTCTTTGGCCAGAATCTGCATGGTCTATTTCTTTAGCCTTTTATTTCTATGCTGCCACCATTTAAGTGTAACCATGCGATACTGACTAAACTAATGTTTCACAACCATGGAGCCATCCCGTAGCAAGGACTGCCTATTATTTATTTAGATGTTGAAAAATTGTGTATATTTTTTAACTGCTTGCAGTCACAGATTTTTTCTGGCACCTATAAAATGTGATGTTTAATACATTACTCAGGGATTCTGTCGTTAAACAAATGCACCAAAGTTAAGTGACATTGTTTCGATTTGACAAATATTAAAGTTTTGAGAGCAAATATTTCCAGTTGGGTTAATACATCTCATGACCACTGGTAATTTTTATGAAAACTATAGTGCAAGTTTTGTGATCCAAACCTCCCACATACGGTGTCAGGGGTGGGATCGCTTTTGGTTGCGGACAAACCACTTTTGTCCTTTGCGAACTGTGACTTGCACATAGAAAGCAAGGTTTATTTTAAGAAGTTCTACCTCTGTATATCCATCTTCTCCAGACTCTCCCCTCACACTCCCAAGCCTCAAGCTTTATATTGGTGCTCAATTATCCCTTAGTCTGTTTGGTGTCCAGCCCTTGTTAGCTCCCTTTACACGTAGGTTGATAGCCAATAACCCTAAAAGGCATTGACATGGTTTATCCCCTGTCATATTCACTTTCAGACAGGAGTAGACTGATGATCGTAAATACAATTAAGATCGCAATAAAGATCAGTGTGGAAAATGGAATTGGTTAGTCAGATACGCTAATATTAGCTGATGTCACTTTCTGTTCTAAGGTTCTCACCTCGGACATAGAGAAGAGAGAGGGGCAACAACTGAGGATGTTGGAGCGGTTGAAGGAAATCCAGAACCGTTACGAAGATGGCATGAAAGATCGAAAATCGATAGATCAACAGGTTGCAGATCTAAACCGTCAGCTGAAGGAGTCCAACATGGAAGCCGGCAAGTACCAGAACCAACTGAAGGAAGTGGAGCTTCTCAGACTGGAGTGCGAAAAGAAGAAGGATGAGTTGAAGCTGAGAGCCCAAGAGTCCATCAGACAGTGGAAAGTCAAGTGTAAGAAACTGGAACATAACTTGGAGAAGCAGAAGGAGGCTGGGAGCCAGGCAATGGAGAGGAACAGTCGTGTGTGTAAAGAGAAGGAGCTACTACAGGGCCAGCATGCTGCAGCGATGTATCAGCTGGAGATACTCCGGAAAGAGCTGAATGATGTGATCCTGAAGCGAGTGCAGCAGGAGGAGGATCTACACCGCAAAGACGTGGTACTTCAAGAGCTGAAAGCCCAGCAGATGGATCTCAGTCGAGAGCTCCAAGACGTTCGGGGGTTTTCAAGCAAATTGGAGCCGACTTGCATAAACAGGATGCTCTGTACACACAGTCCAAGGAGGAGAACCAATGCCTAGAAGATAAGATCATAGCCTTGAACCGCCAACATGAGACAGACCATGAGAAGCTGGTGGAAAGACAACGGACCATCAAAGAACTGAGTAGCTTACGAGCTGAGCTCACCAATCGACTAGCAGAAGAAGAGCAACAGCGAAAGGAGATGGGTAAAGTGATTGCGGATGCCAAGGCCCGTCAGGACTTGGCCCAAGAGGAACTTTCTTCCCTCGACAAACAGTTGAAGTTAGAGAGAGACGTCCACCAACGAGAACTGGCGGATGTTAAATTCGAGGTGCAGACATTAAAGACTAAACATGAGAAGTATGTGCAGGAGATGATTAGGATATTTCACGATGAACGTGAGGAAATGGAGAATCGGATCAGAACACTCATGGTAAGGGTCATTAATTGATACTGAAGTAGCTTTTTTTTTCTGGAGTGGTTTGTAGGCTTCATCTTCAATTCTCTCTGGAGTTGCGACGATTGATAGGGCACCTGATAGACGTGTTCAAGATTATGAAATGTTAATGAGCCGTTTCCACTTGATGGTAAATCCATGACGAACAGGATCTGTCCAGGATAAATTGAGAATGCGTGAATAATTGTTTCATTTACTGCTGGAATCCGGATATGCTGTTCCTGGAAGGGAGGGAGAACTAAATTATAATCTAGAATAGCGTTCAGCGATGTCGTATATATTCAAATGCTATATTATGTTAAACTGTTTTTACATAATATTAGTAATACTTACATTTGATATAGTACCTTATCACACTTTCGAGGCGTCTTAAGGTGTTTTACAGAATATACTGTCAAGTGAATTGACAGTATATTTTGTGGGCGAAACCGGCAGCCAATTGCACAGAGCAGTGTCCCACAAACAGTCGTGGATTGAGTGACCAAATTATTATACAAAAAAAATAATAATTTTGAAGGGATTATTTCCCTGGAAAAGCGACTAACAACCAGGTTCCCACTTACTGTTGGTAAACAGAAACATGTGGAGTAAGGAAACTTACCCAAGGTTTTACTCCTGCCCGGGAATCGAACCAGGGTCCTCTCGTTTGTGAGGCGAGTGTTCTAACCACTTAGCTACAGGGCTCCACATGTTAAAACAAAGCGGATTCAGTAATAGGTTCATGTAATTTGCTGGGGTAACCCTTTTCTGGCTATGCTCTAATCAGGTTGTTACTTACAAGTGGACATGGAATTTTATTTTTCTGTGTATTTACAACTCAGAGTTCCAGGTCATAAAGTGTTATAAACAACAACAACAACAAAACTAGATGTGTATAGCGCATTTCGTGTCGGGAGGACGTCCCATAAATAGGTACAGAGTATCTACTGAGGTGTTATAGTAAATGGCACCTGGATCATTGCCTTTGCAATATTTTTCTTCTCTTTAGTTCATAAATTCCCAGAATAAATTACAGGGTTTTTTGTTGCTTTTGTTCGAAAGGCCTATCTTTGTTTCCATGTAGTGCATTGGCCCTCGGGTTTACCAATTCACCCAAAGGATGCCACTTCCAACAATACAGTTCCATTGGCATGTCAACTTGGACTGTTATCTCAAGTCCTGACATCAGGCGAGAACCCACAAGTTAAATGAATCCTTTCTGTCCCTGTCCCCCCCCGTCCCCGTCAAAGTCCCTCCCCTGCACCCCACCCTTCCAGTGGTCTCTTGGCTCAGCATCGGGGTCTTGAGCACTATCATCAGCTAAAGACATTTTGACATTTATTATGGAGTATTTTGACATTCTTCATATCTCTCTTTAATTCTATTCTTCCAATCCTAGTTACTTTCCCGTCAACAGATGCCCTCTTCTGGTGTCTGTTAAAACTGAAGAGCATACCTAAACCTGTCCCCCTTCGCCTTTCAGGACAATATAGCATCAGCTGTTTCTGAGTGTGAATAGGAGGAGATTGAGTCAGGAGTAGCTAAGTCTGTTCAAAAATGATTCTTTCCTGTTAGTTGTTTAGCCTCAGTGGTAAGGAACTGTAGGTTCTAGCCTGATGTCAGAACTTGAGGTAACAGTCCAAGTTGATATGCCAGTGCAATATTGTTGGAGCGCTGTGTTGTTAGAAGTGTGGCCTAAAATTCTTATGTTGTTTAATTATTAATCCCATCAAGCAGTGCAGCCCCCCAAAAATTGGCCAAACAATCCACGACTATTTGTGGGACACTGCAGTGCACAATTAATTGGCTGTCGCGTTGCTCCCACAAAATATACCATCAATTGCACTTTATCATCAATATATTCTATGAAGTGCTTTAGGATATCTCAACAACGTAATAACAACGCTATATCAAATGCAAACATTATTAGCCATTTATATCACGTGATTCAAGGGGGAAGCTAATAAGAGTCATGCAGCTGTCATCTTTCATTGGGCTCTGTGGTTAGGTGGGTAAACCATCAATCAATCCTTGCATAATGAACCCAGTGAGATTTTCTGATGGTTAGCATCAGTAGTGTTTGTCGGTGTTTGATTTTGCAGTGTGGTTCTGTATGCTGCAGTGTGTCCCTAATGCTTGGTGGCAGCAAAACCAATTCACCTGCACTATCCGCTTTGTAATTCCAACATTTTCAGCTAAAATTCACTCTAATTGCTTGTTTGTGATTTATGACCCGATGATAAGTTCAGTACAAATCGGGAAAGGAGCTATATGGGATGTGTTCACTTACTATCAGATACCTGTATCACTTCAGCTCAAGAGAGCACTAACCAAAGTAATTTATGTTTTTAGAAAGATTAGATAGCGGCAAGAATGGGGGAGTAGAACACGAGCTCTGTTATCAGCTGAAGACATTTTATTACGCACGCTTTGACCTTCTGCCTCGTACTTTTCTCTTTAATTCCATTCTCGTCATCCCAGTTTCTCTCCTGTCATCACAAAAGCTCTTTTGGTTTCTGTCATAACTGCAGAACTACAGATCTTGTCTGCATTTGCACCCCCCTCCCATTCTCTAACCTAAGAGATGGAAACCAATCGCTCTGCAGTCCCTACCCAACTGAGCATAGGTAACTCAGGACAAACCTGTGTGCTTCCTGCCCTGTAAGGCTGAGTAAAACTCAGCTAGACATTAGGGAAGGCCTGCCTCATTGCTTGTTACAATTCTGTGCGTGTTTGCAAAGAAAACATGGAACACTTTTTTATAATGGTAGTCGTGTAGCTTCACTGAGAGGGCCATGTTTGAAGCAGATTTAAGGGGAATGTTAGAATAAAGTTTCATGCACGCAGGTTATCAGAATATGGAATCTTCTGCTATAAGTAGTATTGCGGCTGAGAGGGTAACGTTTAAGAGCGGAATATAAGATGGTACAGGTGAAGAGCACGAAATTGGGATCAGAATCGTTGGTTCTAGTGGATGAATGAGCACCATTTTAGGCTTAATGGGCCAAATGTCATTTTCCTATAATATAAATTTCTATAATTCTATGTAAAAAAAACCTGGAGCCTTGAAAACAATCCTCAAGAAAAGAGGGCTGTGACTTGAATTGGTGAAAGCATTTTATCACTGACAATCTTGAGAGCGTTAACACTTCTACATGCTACTGTATCATGCAAGGCCCAGAATGTTGTGAGCTTCCAGATGATGCCATTATCCAGAGAAGGAAATTAATGGTTTTATTACTTCATCTAAACCCCGAAGTGAGTTATGATTCCTGATGGAGTTTGGATGAAATTGGAGCTGAACAAATTGGATTTCCAATTTGCATGGTTGGTTCACTATTCAAGCCGAAGTGCTGCAACGTGGCTCGAACAAGCGCCAGATATGTTGGTTCTTGCCTGGGTGTAATGTGTTTTTTATCTCCTGTTCGTTTTGTGACAGCACTGAACTGGCTGACATGGGAATCATTGGTACAGACCTTTTAAAACCACTACAATACCAATTGAAAGGTTCCAATTCCCTTTTTCATGAGCGAAAATTAGATTTGTACTGGGTGTAAATTACCTACGTCCTGCTAATTTCAGATTTTGAATAATGTCAGATTGAAGCATTGATACTTGAGGCTACTTTAATTGCATTGGACTGTATTTTGTGGGAAGGGTAATAAACATTGCCTTTACCGCCTTCTGTTCCTAACACGTAACATCTCTGTTTACCTCAAAGTAAGTAGAAACCTGGTTTTAGTCCATTTACCATTTACGTTTCTGGGAGTAAAAAATCTCTTTTAAAAAAAATAATTGGTCACTCAATCCACGACTGTTTGTGGAACACTGCTATGTGCAATTGGCTGCCGCATTTTGCCCACAAAATGTACAGTCAATTATTTTACGAAGTATTTTGTTAAGCGCTTTGAGAGGTCTCGAAGATGTGATAAGGCGCTATATCAAATGCAAGCATTATTAATATGATGATGATGAATAATGTACCATGTTAGGCATGTAATTTCAGTGTGTAGAGTATTTGTCAAAGGAGGATAATTTTGTTGGTTGACGTTCATCAGTGCTGCTTCACTGTATGTACCTCCAGGCAGAACTGGGAGACGACAAGAACTTGGCAAAAGCACAGCGACGCCAGGTGGAAAAGATGAAAAATGAATGTGACAAGCTCGCGGAGCAACTAACCCTGAGTGCAGAGGAGAACTCCAAGTTCAGGAGGAGGTGTCAGATGTACAAACAAGACTTGGAGGATAAGGTGAGGGGATTTCTTGGGTGGAATGCCGGGGGTGGCAGCCGTCATTAAACTGAACTGTGAAACAAAACCACAACTTGTTTTCATGAGTTTAGCACTTGGTTGTTAACAAATTGATGTTTCACTCCTGATTTCAGCAAACTGTTGCTTAAAGCTGGATCCTTGGTGCTGAGTTAATGAAATTAAGGGAACGGTATTGGAGGATATGCCATGCCAAGTAAGGCAGTAGAAGCAGAGTCCATTATGGGTTTCAAAAGGCAAATAGATGGGTATGTGAAAGATACCCACTTAAACAACAAATTACATTTACATTGGGAGGACATCCCAAGGGACTGGACAGTCAGGGATTTGGACCCGAGGAGGGAATTTTGATCGGGAGGGGTGGAGGGCAGGGAGGATAGGGACAGAAAGATGACTGAAGGCGCGGTCAAACAGGAGGGTCTTGAGATGTGACTTGAAGGAGCAAGGGATGGAGCAAGGTGAAGAGACTGTGGGGTAGAGTTCCGTTGGGTGGGAGGCAGAGAGGCTGAAAGCCCGACCACCCACCCCACCGGGTGACGTGGAGCAGGCTGGAGCCTGCTGAGCGGAGGGAGCAGATGGCTTGAAGTGCTATGGGCTAGGGCAAGGCAGAGGGATTGAATTAACAATCTGAGAGCTGATGTAGACTCAATGAGACAAATAGTCCCTTTCTTCACTGTAAATGTCTATGGTATACATGTAGATGCAGACTGCTGAACAAAGGTGGGTTCACATCTGGGTTAGATGGGGGAGAGTGCAGTGTATGGCTAGGTTTGAACAGTTAAGAGGTCGGAGTGGATAAATCATGTCTAATAAACCTGATAGAGTTTTTTGATGAAGTAATGGAGAGGTGGATGAAGGTAGTGCAGTTGATATAGTTTGTATGGATTTTCAAAAGGTGTTTGATAAAGTGACGCATAAGAGACTTGTAAGCAAAATAGAAGCCCATGGTATTAAAGGGACAGCGGATACCGATCTGGCTGGGAGGCAGAGAGTAGTGTTGAATTGTTGTTTTTCTGACTGGAGGGAAGTGTCCAGGGATCAGTATTGGGACCACTGCTATTTTTGATCTATATGAATGACCTGGACTTGGGTAAGCAGATGATCCTAAGCTAGGAAAAGTAGTAACCAGGGAGGAGGACAGTAGCAGACGTCAAATGGACATAGACAGACTGGTAAAATGGGCAAACACGTGGCAGATGAAGTTTAATGTGGAGAAATGCGAGGTGATGCATTTTGGGAGGAGGAATGAGGAGAGACAATATAAGCTAAATGGTAGAATCTTAAAGGGGGTGAAGGAACAGAGAGACCTGGAGGTTCATACAAGTACATATTTGAAGGTGGCAGAACAGGTAGACCAAGTTGTTAAAAAAGCATAGTGAGGTACTAGACTTTATAAATAAGGGCATAGAATACAAAAGTCAGGAAGTTATAATGAACCTTTATAAAACAACGGTTAGACCTCAGTTAGAGACTGCGTTCAGTTCTGGGCTCCACACTTTAGGAAGGATTTTAAGGCATTGGAGGGGGTGCAAAGGCGATTGACCAGGATGGTACCAGGAATGAGGGACTTCAGTTATCAGGAGAGGCGAGAGAAGGGAGGATTATTCTCTTTGGAGCAGAGAAGGTTAAGAGGAGACTTAATAGAAGTTTTCAAAATTATGAGGGTATTCGACAGGGAGAAACTATTTCTACTGATGGGTGGTCGGTAACCTGAGGACACTGATTTAAAATAGTTGTTAAAAGAAACAGGGGAGGTGAGGAGAATTTTTTTTTAGTTATTCAGATCTGGAATGCATTGCCTGGTGGGAACCGATTCAATAACAGATTTTAAGAGAGAAGTAGATAATTATTTGGGGAGGAGAAGTTTGCGGGTCTATAAGGAGAGCGCGGGAGAGTGGGATTAAAATGGATAACTTTTTTAAAGAGCCAGCACAGACACGATGGGCCGAATGGCCTCCTTCTGTGCTGTATAATTCTAGGATTCTATGATATATCATGCATTGCTTTCCCTACAAAATGAAATGTTGGGAGGATGTTCGTGAAAAGAGTACGAGTTACACAGTGTATGTGAGGGTGGGGGCTTGATGAGCAAATGGCCATTTCTTGCACCTACTCTCTTATGTTAATTATATGCAAAACAATTCGCAATACTGCTACATGAGTGTCTCTTTAAATTCGGTGTAGCACGTCTCAGATATTTGTGGACGCTTTATCATGACTCCAGGGGCTTTCTGATTATGATCGTGTTTGAAATGAAACGGATCAGAAACCCCTGTGAAAGGTTGCTGGCCTGATTTTGACAATCATATTAACATCTTGGGGGTGGGAATAGGGAGAGGATGAGCAGCTGTAATTTAATCATATCACAGGAAAGGTAAACCGTCGAAGTGCACCATCACAAGCCTTGTTATCTCTCCAAAGAGGATTTCACCCTTTAAGCACCAAAGTTAAGTGATCCACAGTGAATACAGAGGGATGAAGGAGACCAGACTAAACCCGAGCTGGACCACAAATGAGCTCTTGTCCCGCAAAGTGCATCCTCAGGTTTGCCCTTGTACAGAATACACCTGTATTTCCCGGTAATAATAAATAAGCCTTGCATTTGATGCAGTGCCTGTAAAGGCCAAACGTCTCAAAGCACTTCACACATAATTTCTGTCAAATGAAATGACCGTGTATTTTGTAGGCAAACGCAGCAGCCAATTTGCACACAGCAACATCCCACAAACAACCGTGAAGTGAATGACCAGTTTGTCTGGGGGATTGTTTGTGGAGTACATTCAGCTTGCATTATGGCCTCTAGTGATCAAAATTCACACCCAACAGTAGGGATGATTAACAAAATTGTCCCCACTCACCAATAGTTAAATGGTTACTGGTTGAAAGGTTAAAAATATTTTCATAGCACCTTATCCCATCGAAACACCTTGGATTTCATCTAAGTAATTACTGTCAAATATAGTTTCATAGGCAAACATAGGCAGTCGCTTGTGATAGCAGGATCCCACAAACAGTAATCCCACAAACAATTTATCTGGAGGACTGCTGACGTCAAGAGAAATTCCCTCCCAACACCTGAAGAACAAGCAGACGAGACCTCAGTTTTAACATCTCATCCAAAGGACGGCACTTCCGACATAATGCCCTCCGAAGTACTGCATTGCAGTGTCACTCTAGACTATAAAAACTCTTGCAGATGTGTTTAACGAAACTTTACTGCTGGCTATCTGTGTGAGAGCAGACTCGGAAATTCTCTTGTTGTCTGCTTCTAATAAAATCCCTGTAAATTGTGTCTGCCTGAACACAGTAATCATAGTGCTTAGCACATTGAGTTGCTTTTAAAGTGCGTTTTTTGTCACATTAGGCACGATAAAACATCTCAATTAGAATTTGTGTTAAATGGCCCATTATAATGTACCTGAGCTGTTTCACAGCCAGATTGTTGCACAGATATCTCAGTTTAGATAAAATATTTTATTACTACAGGCAGTTTATTTATCATCTCTACCACATATATGCAGATTTACAGTAATGCCGGATTAGTATGACACAATGTTACTGCTGCATTTTTGGATAAACACTAAAAGCAACAATTAGGTTTAGTGTGTGAATATTACTTCATTTCAATTATACGGTAATCAGCCCGGGTTTCCTGTTCTTGATCTCAATCTGTGATTGCTGCTGTTTTGATCTTGAGGAGAGTGGCATCAGGCTGATGATGACAAGAAAGTGCAGATGAAGAAGTCTCTTTGGCCCATTGTATCTCATCTTTGTAGAATATCTGCCCTAACCTCTTAAAAATGACACTTGCATTTGATATAATGTTTATAACGTCTCAAAGTGCATCACAGATAATTGCTGGCAAGCGCAGTGACTGTGTATTGGATGCTGTATGGGCTTGATGCTTCCTAATATACCATTAATCTGCAGCCTTTGATGCTCTCCATGATCACTGGCTAGGCTCTCCCATTAAGAATTGCGTTGTGGGATGAGGCGCCGCAGGGCTATGGGCACATGTGGAGCTTTCCCCCAGCTTGAGTCAGTGTCTTACGTGGGCTTGGATTCTGTAAGCGCATAAAGAGGCAACAATGGAGGGGGTGGACACTAGTTTCAGCAGGAATGTACCTCCTCGGCAAGGAATCTAGAATTGATGCTCACTTGGCTATGGGAGGGGAAAAATAATATAGACTTCCAGTGTGATTTAGTATGCAGCACGTGTGCTCAAATCATTCTGGAGATCAGGCTGCCATGTAACCTGTGGTCATTCTTCACTAAAGCAAGCCCTATGGACACTTCCAACACATAATTAAGTAAGGTTGTGCACGCATCCCCTGCACCGACTGTAATAAATTAATCCAGAACTAATTGCAATTTTGTTCGGTTCTTTTGCAGAGATGCTGACATTTAAAGTCAGCAATACTTCACATGTTCGCTTTAAATGAAGACTTAATGTTTTTTTATAGTTGGGAGTATTACACCGTTAAACGTTAACAGTTTAATAGCATTAGTATAAATCACGTTTTTAATACGACTGTTGCACTATTATAGACTAATTTCTGTAAATACACCGCTATATAACTAGTTCATAAATAGTTAGCCTTGTTTTGTGTGTGGATGTGATTCCTTTTACAGGGAATAATGGATATTTGGGAGTCTTTACAGATCAGAGTCGAGTAGGATCAAATTAGGTCAAAACTATGGGAGTGAACAAATGTTTGATCCGTGACAAAATTACACTCTTAAAATCACTAGAGTATGTTCAAGGCTGTAATATGCTCCCAGCCGTCGTTGATTCTTTGTGTAATAAACCTTAGGACACCACTGCAAATGGGGTGGGGGAGGAGTGAGCGGAGTTCGCCTCAAGGCGCACCTCAAGACCCTCCTCTTTGACCGTGACTTTGGTTCCTCTCCTACCCCTACCCTCCCTGCTCTCCATTCCTCCTATCCCAACCCCCAACTCATCCCAAATCCAGCGCCTCCTA